ACACCGAAATGGAAAAGTTGACCAAGGGGAGTAATCAAAATCTGGTATCAACATGGAAACATGAACATGCAGGGAAACTCCCGCCAAAGATGCCCTCAAAGTTGAACCGCTTGTCCACAAGCTGAAGCTGCCCAAAAATAACTAGAAACCGTGCTTTCGAGTCAGTGTCACTAGAACGTTCGCATTCTTCCAAAGCCGCATTTCCACGACCTGCACTGGGTAAGGGATCAAAAGAGCTTGTGGAACAAAACCTCCCTTCATGGCCAGGAATTGCTCCCCTACCTCCCAGGCAGGTTTTGACTTTTCACATAGGCCCTTTGGTCCGCTGGTAAAATGAGGCCCGTGCCTCCGTGTTGTCCTCGTCTTACCATTGAAAAAAATGGGGGTTGCATTGGGTTGCTATTTAACAACAATATTCCCACAAAAAGATAGCGTCCAAAACAAAATGTCCACACCCGCATGGGTGTGTCTATTTGTTTTGTGTGTGTGTGTTGTTGTTTTTGTTGTTTTTGCGAGAGGGGGGCACCCCTTTTTGGTGTGGTGTCAAATGGAAACCCAACAGGAAACCCGCCCTGTCGGGGGAGTCGTCCCAGAAAACAACCACGATACAGAGCCGTGTCTTTTTCTTTTAGGGGGGGGGAGCCCTTTTTGGTGTGGTGTCAAATGGAAACCAACCGGAAAACCACTCCCTTTTTTGGGGGGAGTCGTCCCCAGGAAAAAAACAAAAGGGCCCACCCACATTGTGGAGGTACCCCTTTTAGTGTGGTTTCCAATTGGAAACCACGAGGAAAAAGCTACCAGGTCTCAACCAACCGGAAATCCAATAGAAACTGTGCCCTTTCTTTGGGTAGTCGTTCCCCCCCCACCAAGATTGAGGAGGGGCGCATTGGAGGGCAGGCCCAGCAACTTCTCCCACCTCTCGGCGCGGATCAGGGGCGTGGGCCGCCAGAGCTCCAGCACCTCCCTCACCGCGCCGGGGATCTCCACGTAGCGCTCCGTGGACACCTGACATTCAGCGAGCGAGAGGCCGCCCTCAGATCCCAACTAAAAGTGCTTTAACTTTTGGCCCAATGCCGAAGCCTTGGACCCCACAGGCCTCACAGAAGTGCCAGGCAATAGTAAGCGCATAAAAACGAAAGTACCAACATACTGAATAACAACTATAGTCCTCATGATCCTCATAATAGAAAGAAAATACAATTGATAAGATCAACTATATCATTCATATCAACCACACTACATAGTAATACCAGAAATGCAAATCATATTGAACATGCTAATAAGATCAACCGTATTTGTAGCACTAACAGTTCTAATAGCACCTAGAATCTTAGTCAAACTAGTCATACTGATAACAATAGTCATGGCAATACTGAGAACAATGGAAAAATAGCAATACTGTCAAGCAATTGTTGCAATAGGTTTAAATGAATGGTAATAATTGTCATAATACCAACAATAATAACCATGGTTTTAATAATGACAAATGTAATAACAGTTATAACAAGACAAATATAAATACCAATTGGTACGGCTTGTCTATCATTGGCACAAATAATTATTACAAGTGCTACCATGAACATTTGTCATTGTGATAACCACTTAGTGCTAGTACTAGTGCCAGTACTAGTTAGTAGTAGTAGCAGCAGCAGTAGTAGTAATAGTAGTAGTGGTAGTAGTAGTAGTAGTAGTAGTCGTAATAGTAATGGTAGTAGAAGCAGTAGTAGTAGTAGTAGTAGTAGTAGTGGTAGTAGTAGTAGCAGTAGTAGTAGTAGTAATGGCACTACTAATACCAGGGATAACAATAGGAGAATGGCACAGTGGTACATGCAGTCTGGGCTTGGGGGGACCTCGAGGCTCGAGGGCTTGGGGGGCTGGGGGGGGGGGCAGGGGGATGGCAGCAGCCAAAAAAAACAGTTGTTTGTTTGTTTTTTTTGCTGCTGCCCCCCCCCCGGCAGCCAGCCCCTCAGCCCTCAGTACTATGACGAGGAGTACTGGTACTGATGTACGTATAGCGATTACTGGTACAGTTCACAATCAGCATTGATACTAACACCATTACATATATGAACTCTACTATTGCTAGCGCTATATATCGAACAGACACTATTACCAAAGTTCCTACTACTGGCCACTTGGCACGGCGAACGGACTGGAAGACTTTCTTCGCAGAGGCAAAACTCAACCCAAAACGAACGCTCATCACTGGCAGCATCGACGGGGAACGCGTGGAGTCCATCCAGGACAAGTTGGTGCGTGACATCCGGTACATGGACAAGCTCATTGATGAACTCGCGCAGGGGAAGGCCATGGACAAGATTCTTCGCAAGTGATGAACAATGCGGCGGTATTGAGATAGTCAGATAGTGGTGGGGACCTGCACCGGTATCGTTTTGTGCGCTTTTCTTCACAAACATGTAGAGGATCTGTGCAGAGGCGTGTTCCAGTCTTGATGGAGAAAGAACCGTCCCGGTTTTGTAGGGATAAATAGTAATAAAACAGAAAGGGTTGCAAAAACATATGGGATGCAGCAATGACATAGTAGTAGTAGTAGTAGTAGTAGTAGTAGTAGTAGTAGTGGTGGTGGTGGTGGTGGTGGTGGTGGTGGTGGTGGTGGTGGGGGTGGTGGTGGTGGTGGTGGTGGTGGTGGTGGTAGTGGTAGTGATGGTAGTAGTGGTAGTAGTGGTAGTAGTAGTAGTACCAGCGATTTGCTCGAACTTGAAGCCGGTAAGCCATGTAATGATCTGGTTGACCTCTTCCATAGTGTGGCCTGTCTCCTTCGCCTTGGCGATGTACCGTGGATGGACTCTTGCAAAAATATATATTTGTGGATGTTCGGGTTTTCTGTTTTTTTTTTTCATCTTGTCCTTATGCAACCAAACCCCGGTGGAAGGCCATTGCTCGTGGTTCGGGACTTTGCCCAAAGATCTTGCATGCCCCTCCCTTGCTGTTGCTTCGCGCGAGTTCAAATGCCCAGTGGCCACGGGGAAAAAGGGCATCCTTCTTTGTTGGTTGGTCTTGCTGGTCACAGCTCCCTCCTTCTTGGTCTTTGCCACGTCGGTCTTCCCTGACTTTTTTCCGGTTTCTTAATCGCTGGCTTTGGTCTCGCTGCTACTGGCCTCTTCGCCATGTCAGTGAGAATAATAGGGATGGTTATTAAGAAGGCTCCGCCGAGAAACTAATCACATCACATAAGCTACCCTTGAGCACAAGCGCCTCCAATCCTTTGCGCTGCAGCCGTTGATTGAACGCTTCATCACAGACAAGTTGCATGTTGTTACAAACGACTACATCTTATAAAAGCTAAAAAGCTAAGGGGATGGCTGGGAGCCACCAAGTCAGAGAGAGGCTGGTGTGGCTGTGGTTGTCAAACAACAAGGGCGGTTCAGTTCCTGGTGGTTGAATTTGGACCCATAGTCAGGTAGAGGTTCTCCCAAAAAGTCTCTCTTGGTACCTGCTAAGCAGGTACCGAACCCCTTGTTACCCCCCAAACGCCATCAGGAGGTACCAAGACACCCTCTGACCCTGGCTTGGCCCTGGTGCTTGCGAGGTAGGGAATGGCTCAGTCCGAGTTTCCGGGTGTTGGTTGAATGAACCAGTTGAATGTGATTCCCGAATAAAGAAAACCGGATCGGAAGGATGGAATTTATAGAGCTCGTTATATTTCTCGTTCCCTGCTGAGAACAAGCAAGAGAGAAAGAGATTCTACGTGCAGGCAGTCGTTCCTGCTATTGGCAATCGGTACCCCTGCAGAAGTCTACTTATGCTTGGCGTGTGCTCGCAAACAGCGGTCGCTGGGCTGAACAGCACAACCACAAAGGACAAAAAAGCAAAAACGAGGCCAAAGCTGCAAAACCTCGAAAAATCGGCTCCAAAATCAGAGGTCAAGTACCTCTAAAAGGCCGGCGGCACCAAGGGTTTCGAAGTTGCGCCTGGCCCAGGGCCTTCCTGATTTCAGACACTGCCTATCTGATGGAATTGTTTGCTTGGGCATCCTGAAAATGATGATCCTCAAAAAGCGTGGTTCGAGTAAAACCCCAGAGTAATTTCGGAAGCCCTCAAAATATTCACTTGAAGGGACCCGCGGGAGAGAAGAGGCTGCCAACCCCAAATCAGTGCGCTGAAAACCCCATGCTGATCTTGGGCAAGCACCCAGGTTTTGGCACGAAGATCCTGACAAGCTTCGGTGAATTCCTGCTTCAACCCAGTTTTGACGTCATCTTCACCCCCCCCCCACCCATCTCACATGTGGTTTCTCTCCTTCCGCGCCTCCTGCTCGATGAGGCTCATGGGGAAGAGGGGCGCAAAGTCCTCCGCAGTGCACGGCCGCAGCTCCTTTGGGTGCAGCGGCGGCGGCAGCGGCGCCGGCAGATCCGCCTGGATGTTGTACCAGGCCCCCGGCAGCGAACCGCCCACCACCCGCGACGCGAAGCGCCGGGCCGCCGCGGCGGAAGCCGCGGCAGTGGCGGAAGCGGCGGCCCGAACCAAAGCGGCCATGGCGAAGAAAGCGAAACCAACGCGGCGCCAAGGCGAGAGACCAGTGCAAGTCAAGAAGGGAAAATGGTTGTCGTGAGTGCCGCTGTGAGTGGGTTTCACTCCAATAACCCTCTCAGCCCGTGCAAGCCATAGATGCTTGCTCAGGTGCTGTCTACCACGTCTGCGATTTGGCACCTGAAACGCAGATTTAACTTCAGCAGTGACTCCGTTTGGCTCGGGCCAAACGGCTACATGGGAGAAGCCAGCTTCCTTCTCGCCTTCCTTGTTGGGTTGCTGGCCACTGCAGGAAAGTACGTGGAGTCTCCTCCTGCAAGCGATGCGGGTGTCAAATTCCTGTTGCGCCCAGGTGGCCATGGGTACCTCCAGGGAACATCCCAATCCCCAATTGAAATAGACTACAATGGGTGGTGCACCTACCCCAAAATGGGATCCCATTAGTTTTGACCCACAGCCAGGTGAGGAATGTCCTCCTTTGTCCATCGCCCCTTCCTGAGCGCCCGCGCGAATAGCAGGCTCCGCAGCTCATCCAGCTGTTCCGGCGCCAGCGGGGAGCTGTTGAGGCGCCGGTACATGGCCACGTAGACGCCCACGTCCTGCCCAGAACAAACGGGGGCCTAAGGGGTGGGCAATTGGGGGGGGGGGGGGGATTGAGGGCAGGAGTGGTTTTAGGGGTGGGGCAAGGTTCCCAATTAGAGCAACTGCCAGAGCTTGGGTCAGAATCAGAACGTTCATGCCGACTCTATCTGCTGCAACTCCGAGAAACAACGAGGGCTGCCAAACGCTTCCGAACTTGAGGAATTGCAGTCGCACATTTTGCCGATCTGGATGAGAATCTATTGGACAGTTCGTGAACTCCTGGGTGGCCATTGGCCGGAGCGCTGTTCGAACTGAATCGGAGGAAAAGTGGCATAAGTTGAAAGACACGAAGGTGGTCGCTGCAAAACATACATAAAAAAAAAAAAAAAGAGAGATGACCCAGCATGACTTGGTTGTGCTTTTTGCCAAAAGGAAGATGCTTGGCCAATGCGCTGGTGAAAAAAAGGGGGACAAGAATTGGACCAGCGCAGCTCAACTTTGCCATCCAAAGCGACCTCAAAGTGACTTGGACCGCTATCATGCAAAATCCTTCAAGCAACGCTGAAACCCGGCGGCTCTCAAACCGATTTCGCTGCTCTCAGCTCCCCCGGCTCCCCCGGCTCCCCCTCGCTCCTGGCATCTCTCCAAAGCGCGGAGGCAACGCAGCAGGTTCCTGAAGTGAGCCCATGAGCTCGCGGCCCAAAACCCCGCCCTCGATTCAAGGGGTAGGGCATGGCCATGGGTCAAAATCCGAATCGTACCCCCAGGGAACATCCCAATCCCCACAAAAATAGACTAAAATGAGTGGCGCACCTACCCCAAAATGGGATCCCTTTGCTTTTGACCCACAGCCATGCGGCTGTAGCCCACCAAAACCATGGCTCTGCCTGTTTCCTGACGAGCTTGCCTTGGGGTAAAACGAGCTCACCATGAATGCCCTTTGCCTCTGGAGGGTTTCGGCTCAGCTTTCACGCAGCGGCCCTGCGGGGAAGTCCGCCACGGACGCGCCGTGACATTCGATCTCGCCAAGACTCTGGAACAGCGCAAGTATCATTGTATCTTTCTCTCACGCACACTGGGAAGAGTGCGGGTTCTGGTACACCGCGCGGTGTTCTTCGATCCACGTCTTCCGGGCCAATACTTTGACATCGCTATGTCGCTCGGAGTTGACCTTCATGAGCTAGACGGGTGCTCTCGCAACTGGCGCCAATCCGTCAGGCACTTGATTCTCGAGGGGCCCTGTCGGAGTAGGTTGCTGCGAACCCAATTTTGGACCTGTGCTTTTTGCTGAATCAAGGTTGCAGAATCACCCCCGCGATGCTTTGTGGAATGGAGGCATCTGTCACAATTCAATCTTGATCGCCATCGACTCTGGCCAGTCCTTTGTCATCGGCAGTATCATTTGCTTCGAAGCAATTGAGCCACTTCAAGAATGCATTTGGGGTCTTGATTCGAGCCTGCCTCTCGAATGGCATGACGTCATGTGGCGGATTGAGATGATAGATCAACGCCGCGCGCTTCTTGACTACTACGTAAACCCCTATTGAACCTGCAGTAGCCATGGGTAATGACTGCGGAGTAAACTTTGCCTGTAGCAAAACCCATGGTGCATCCGTGACCAGCGCTGCGGCAAGACCTGGTGCGATCTAGTTGCCACCACTATTCGTGTTCGTGTGCCTCTCAGATATCAGAAGGTCAAGCTGGCACGCGGACTGCAGAAACCTAAAGCAGAACTTTGGATATCGGCTCCTGCTAGTGACTTCAGCGTGTCAGAATGTGATGTACAGCGTGCCCAAGACACTGAAACCAGTGTACAAATGTGTTTTCAAGTTGGACTAAAACACATGCGTATCTTGCTGGGACACTTACTCTCCTTGAGCGCGTCAACCGCCGACTCCCTTGAGTCACACCGCCCAGGTGACCGCTATCCGGCTGTACGGCAAAATGCGCCTATACGGATCAAAATTCGAGAATTTCCGCAATGTGATCATCGTTTAAACTCCCTCCAAAAGCACACAGCTTTTGTGAGAGTTGCGATCGTCTCGCAATCGACAAGAGCTAGCGCGAGAGAAGAGCCATCGCAACAAGCCTGGCAGGTCCTATACCTGGGGATCCGGTTCTGATTTCAGGTCTTACCGTGGTAGGTGCAGATCGGACGGCTGACGTGGTACCTCCAGTCAAGGCAGCCAAGGGGTAGGTGGGTGGGTCAGGATGGGAAGCTTGCAGCCAGAGGAGCTCCGGGGTGGCCTTGCTCAGCACGAGCTGCAGAAGGCAGCCCCTCGCCTCCCCGAAACATCGGTAGCGGAGGCTCGTGGGGTTCTCACGATAGGAATCGGGCGCCTAAGGATGAGGAGCCCCTTGGTGTCCTTTGCAACACCAAGACAGTTTGCAACACCAAGACAGGGTCCACCCATTCTGAAAAAATCCCATCACATGTTATTCAATAACCCTCCCCCCCCCCCCACAAAAAACAGAGCAGTATCATAGGAGTATGGGATGCAAAGTGTTTCAGGGTGGTTCATCACTTTTTGGAGAACCCCTGATTGACTTTAAAGGGAGGCTTCACCGTTTCAGAGGCGATGCGCACAGATTCAACCCCTGGTTGATTCTGAAAGGATACAACCCGTTTCTCGCTCGCAAATGCGAATTGCTTTGGACCCCCTACAAAAGCAGATGCGGAATCAACATTTAAAGTCTAAGGCAAGGCCGAGTCTCAAGGGACTCGAAAATCTCCGGATTTAGGGCTGGGAAGGACCTCCAATCACACAGTTGCTGTTTGGCCGAGCTTCAGCTGAAAAGCCAACAAGTCTGCGATCCATGGCTGAAGCCCACGGTTCAAAATTGGCCCAACGAGGCTGCCAAACAGGGAACCTCTTCTTTCGGGATGCAGCAGGGATGCCAAAAAGCAGCAACCCACCAACCGTCGGAATTTTCACTCGGTTGCTTTCTGCCACCCCGCTAAAAGCTTTTAACTTTTCATGGTTTACTGCGGAAAACCAATTCGTTGGCAAAAAGTCGTTAAAGTCCTAACATCCAAGCAAAATGCACCAAAGTTCAGATTTGTTCGTCAAAGCAAACCGGCCGAAGGGAAGTCCCCTTCCTAGTTCGAGTGTACCCCCGCAGGCAAAAGACAAGGTCAACTGGGCGGAAAGTGACCCCCGAAACTGAAATGCTCGCCTCCTTTTTTAAAGGGCATCCCCTTTTTTGGGGGTTGGTTCAAAAAGGACATCAAAAGGAAAACCTTTTTTTTGGAGAAAAAATAATAACTTTATTCAAATTGGACAGGGTAAAGGATTGAACCAAATGCTCTTTGAGGCCCTTTGCCAAGCTGTGACTTCGCGCAGTACAAAGCCCATGGTTCTTGAAGGCGAACAAGCACACCACTGTCTTCCAGATCCACGGCGAGCATAAAAAAGGCAGGCGGAAAAGGGAAACCAACAACTATGACACCAAGCCTTTTTTAACGTTTTTCCCACCTTGGGCCCAAAAAATAATGCACGTCGGGCCCAAAAAAAACAAAGCTGGAAGACGAGCGGATGGATACCCTGCCCAAGTGCCCAAGCGCCCAAGCGCCCACGCGCCCGCGTTCGCGTTCGCGTTCGGGAGACCGCCTCTTCGTCGCCCTCCGGAAACTGCGCCACCGGCAGCCAGTGGCCCGCCAGCTGCGCCAAGTCGCTGCCCTGCAGCAGAAACTCCCAGACTTGCCTCAAGCCGCGGCCCCGCGGGCGGGGCACCCGGCGAGAAGCGAGAAGAAACCGAAACAGAGTCCAAAAAAGTGGTCGACGCCCAGGATGGGTCCATCCTCTTTTGAGGCTCGCTAACTTCCCTATTTTGTTGGTGTTTTTGAGGCTCGATAACCCCGATTTGTTTTTTTAGTGGGAAGGGAACGCAAAAGGATCAATCACTGTTGCGCTATTTTGCGGGGGTTGATGCCTAAAAACAGACGTCCATGTAGATTCCGAAAGCGCCGTCTGCGGCAAACAAAAGGCGACTCTGAGGGACGAGAATCTGAGGCAAACAGAAGGGCAGAGGAGGAGTTGACTTCCCGTGATTACCCTTGCAGTTCGGTGTGTGCATAAATTGTTGTAATCCGTTCATTGTTGGAAGAAACCGGCAACTATATAGAACGCGCAAGGTCTCACGCCAAAAAGGACAACGACATCCGTGCAAAAAAAACAAAGAGAAAAAAACGACAACCCCAAGAGGACATCTGCTTGGCAAAATGAGTCTCCTCAATGCGCTTAATGGGAACCCCGCATGTAAGAAGCCCCTGGTTGATTCATTCGGGGCGTTCCCTTTTAGTGGGAGTTTCTCACTTTTGGCGGAACGCCCGCGAATAATAGGCTTTGTTTGCCCATTTCGAGTCGAAGTCTAAGACAGCTACGATCTTTTGGGGACACGGGGGCGGACCGATCATTGCTATTGTGCATGTTTAAAATAGTATTTCTAAGACACGAATACAATGGGCTAGAAACTGTAGCATGACACCAAGGAAAAAGCAGAAGTAACTGTTACTACTGCATATCGCATGTGAAGGGTTTCATCCGGGGTCAACCAAAAAAACGCCGCCCCGCCCAACCCCACCCAACCCGACTCAAAAGCACCGCTCGCACCGCGCCTCAGCTCCGCTCCAGGGCGGTGAACCCAGAGCTTCCGAAGCTCCGCGTGGTCCTCTGCCAGGCACCTTTGCAGGTACCTGGGCCATCTGGGACGTTGCTCAAGCCGGAAGCACCGGGTGAAGATGGCGCAATTTTCTTGGAAGATACCAACACAGAAGCTCCCAGAACCACTTTGGTGGACTTATGGCACATGTTTTTCTTGAGAAGTACGAAACCGAGGACTTGGTTCCATGTACAGTGGCCTTCTGAGGTTTCATGTTAGTTTGAGGGAGTATAAAGGGGATGACTGAACCCAAAATGGGATGGAATTGTGCCATCTGAGGCGTCAAGAAAACAACCTCCTCCATCATGAGTGAGTTTGTCAAAACCCGGGTGGCCAATCGATAGATGCAAAGCCCACTTTGGGAGACCTGCCTGAGAACGGCATTCTTGCGAGAACGCAAGTGCTGTTTCTGGTTTGCGAGGTGCATGCGGGGTGAGTTTGCATGTACGCATGTATATGCATATAATGTATGAAACTCCGGGGAAGCAATGGGGGCTTGGAAGCACGACATCAACCACCTGAAGCATCTGATCCCGCTGCAAATACCACCAAACAACTGTTGGCCATGGTTTCCAAGTGGTGCGAACGGATTTTGTCCTTCCACAGGCGGCGGCTTGGGGATCTCTAAGGATTCCTTCCCTGTGTCCGTCCGGCCAGGGCACTGGAAGGCGGGCCTCCGTTGCAGCAGCTCCCGCCACCACTCCACGGACACCAGGCGAGCCCCCAGGTCCTTGCAGCCAAGGCACTCCTCCGGCACCTGGCGTGCCAGTTGGGGTGAAGACTTTGTCATCTTGCCTCACACACGGGCCCCAAGTAGAGGATTGCTCTTGGATGCTTCGCTCGAGAGCTTTGCCTGATGAGATTCTATTGGAACATCTCGAATCTGAGTTTCTGAGCTTGGACATTTCATCGACATTCAAACTGCCACAAAATGGCAGCGAGTTGTGATCCATAGTCCAACTCCGCTAGAATTTGAGCAAACTTCAACCTCATAGGTCCGCCGCAGTAATGCGAATCAAGTGCTACCTTTGCAGTGGGATAAAAGCAGCCGGACATGAGTACGAACTTCGACCTACCCTGAAAGCTTCGCGAAGGGGCTGCCACTGGAATTCTGAATTGCCGCTTCACGGCTATTCTCCCAGCGACTTTCGGACAAACTTCTGCACCAATCTGGGAAGCTGATTCCTTCCACCATGATCCTTTGTTTCAGTCACTACGGCAGAGGCCCTAAATGTTGCAAGTAGGGAACAATTTGGAAACCCAACGTAATTTCGACCGTGGAACTTGTGGTTGGTTTGCTTGAAATACTCTGGGTGGACGAAATCCTGCACCACCTAAGAAACTCTAACATGATGATTCCCCTGTAAATACCAACAAAGAATGGTTTTAACCATGGTTTCAAAGTCATGCGAAATGGATTTTGTCCATCCACAGTATGGCGGTCACCGGGCATACACCGCAGGTTTCGTTCGTCACCCCGATTTTTTGTGCCGAGAGATGGCGCCTGCAGACGTTGCGTGGGCCCCAGCTGCGGTCTTTGCACGGAGCCCAACAGCTCAGCCAGGGGCATGCGCTGCAGAGCCTCTCGGGCGCAGGAAATGGGGGGGGGCGGAGGGTGTTCGCTTGTTTGAGGGGTACAGTGTTTTAGGTGGTTCCAAGGGCAACCCAAAGGAAAAAGCTTTGGTTTTTTTCCATGGGTACACAGGAGACTGCTAAATGGGTGTACACCGGCTATTGTTCAATGGTGGTTACATTTAAAATGTAGGGGTCATAGACTCCAAATGTCCGCCAGGCCGCGAATTCAAAAGAACACAGAACATGTTATCACGTGAATTTGCCGCTGGACGCCAAAATCGACAAAACTGCAGGGAAGCATATGGGCGAAAGGCACGGCTTGTGAAGAGATGCACCATTCGCAGGCAAAGCACAAATTGCCAATTTGCCGGCACCGCCCATTGCTGCATACCGCCCATTGCAGGCACAGATCGCAAAAAGAAACCAACCCAACTATGATAATGACAATAATGGACACTAATGGCATAAACAACTCAATAGAACATGTTGTTTTTTCCCATCAAAAGAAAAGCCGACCCCAAGCCCTCGATTTTGGGCCTCCAACTTGCGCTGCGCCCATGTCCTCGAGGCTTCCACCCGTGGCAGGCGGCTGTTCGAGGATGCGGACGGCAGTGCCTGGTCGTGGGGGGATCCCAGAACTGGGCAACGGGTGTTTCCCTTTGGGTTTCCGGTGAAAACCATCCAACAAAGGGGGTAAATGGGTACCAGATGTGCCAAAATATGTGGAAAAAAGCTGTGGAAAAATGGTGTTGGCTTTCTTGGGGTGGCTTTGAAGTAAAAACCCGGCTGAAACCCCAAGAGGCATTTTCTTTTTGAGCCCGCCCATGGAATGGACGAACTCCGCTTCTCGCACCACGAAATGAAACCATGGAAGCCGTTTGTTTCTTTCCTGTTGATTTCCTAAAGTGATATCCACCAGTCATGGGAACAGCCCATGTCGCCTTTCTTTGGAGGGCACCCCACCCCTCCATAATATCAACTAGTGCTGGGAACAACCCATGTGGTCTTGTCTTTGCTAAAGCCATCTAACAAGGGGTAAATGGGTACTAGTGTGTGTCAAAATGTGGGGAACCCCCCCGCCCCCCCGCCCCCAATAGGTGGTTTCCTTTGGTTTCCGGCCCTCGCCTGAATTCGCGCCGACGCCGGGGCCAGCTGCAAGGTGTGCACTCCCAGCTGCTCCAGGAAAGCCTCCCAGCCCAGGCCACAGCCTAGCCGATCCGACCCGAAAACTCCCACGAGCGGAGGTGGTGAGTCGGGGCGGAAGAAGGTCTTTTCCTTGTGAAAAAATCAAGGAAGCAGGAGTGGCGGAAGAAGGTGGGCTTCTTTACTGGTAAAAGCATTCAGGGAAGGCACGAAGGTTTTGACGTTTTGACCCTTCTCTTTTAGTCGATCAGTGCTCCGCTCCCGAACTGCAACTCGTACGAGTTGCAGCGAATTCTCGGTTTCAGTCGCATGGCGGTATCAAAACGATCCACGAACCATGCCTGGCAAGGGGACTGTCCCTTACTAACCTTCACTTCGCCGAATCGGTTTAGAGCACGTGACTCGGGCTCTAAATCGCTTCAAAACAGACAGAAAAGCGAGCAGTCAATTTGAATTTGGAGCACTTCTCCGAAACTGTTGCGCCCGCTTTCGCGCGCGCGCATGCACACTGACTCGCCCGGTCGACCGGTCGCATCGCCCGAGACGCGCGCCTTCCAGGTACCAGGGATCCACGAAGCGCAGCGGCCACGGCAGCGCGGCCCGGCGCAGACTCGCCGCCGGGCAGCCCAGGTAGCTGCAGCAGACCAGGCGCTGTGCGCGCGCCAGGCCGCGGCCCAGCACGGGGAGCCAGAGCACCTCCCAAAGGACGGGTTGTTGTTTTTTGGGGGTAGGTGGTCTTTTGGATAGAAATGGATGCTTTTTCGGGATCTCAACTGAAAGGGTCCAAAAGATCGGCTCTTTGAATGTTGCTGATCGGCTCTTTTCATGAGCTTTATGCTTCGTTCGGGGGTTGGTTCTTTTGGGGGGGTAGGTGGTCTGTTGGATAGAAATGGATGTTGTTGTTGTTTTTCTTGCTGGAAGGGTCCTTTCAACTGGAAGGGTCCAACAGATCGGCTCTTTCAATGAGGTTTCTTGCTGATCGGCTCTTTTCATGAGCTTTAAGCTTCGTTCGGGGGTTGGTTCTTTTCGGGGGGTAGGTGGTCTGTTGGATAGAAATGGATGTTGGTTGTTGTTTTTGTTGCTGGAAGGGTCCTTTCAACTGGAAGGGTCGCAAAGATCGGCTCTTTCAATGAGGTTTCTTGCTGATCGGCTCTTTTCATGAGCTTTATGCTTCGTTCAGGGGTTGGTTCTTTTCGGGGGGTAGGTGGTCTTTTTGATAGAAATGGATGTTGTTGTTGCTTTTCTTGCTGGAAGGGTCCTTTCAACTGGAAGGGTCCAAAAGATCGGCTCTCTTTGAATCAGGTTTGTTGCTAATCGGCTCTTTTCATATGAGCTGAATGTTTCAGTTGGGGGTTGTTGTTGTTTTTTTGGGGGGTAGGTGGTCTTTTGCAAAGAAATAGATGTTGTTGCTTTTATTGCTAGTAAACGGACGCCGTAAAACACGTCTAAAAATCAGTGGAACCCATCGATGTTTGGCCATACAAGGGCACCTATGTCCATGGTGTTGGCTCTTTCGGGGTGGTTTGGAAGTAAAAACCTTGAGGCTGAAACCCCAAGAGGCAAGGGAACTTTTCTGTTTGAGCCCGCCCATACTGTGGATGGTTGAGATCGAAATCTGCAAATCTCGCACCACGAAATGAAACCATGGTAGAAACCACAACGTTTGTCGGCATTTTACAGGGAAATCGAATCATTCCAGGGTGTCTTAGGTGGCGCTGTTTGAGCTTTACAAACCAAAAGGTATTGGCTTCCAAAAAAGGCTCGATGTGTTTTGCCCCCATTCGTCCAAAACCTGTAGAGCCAAACAAAGTCAACAAAATGTGTAAAGAAAACCTTGCCAACAACAGTGGAGAGACGGGTCCCAAGCCTCTCCTGAGGATTTCCTTTGAAGGTCCGGGAAGCCATCTCGGGCTGCCAGGGACAGGCACCTCTATTGAAATAATAGTAATTATTCGTCCTGAACGTAAACACATTGACAAAGAGTCTTTTTTTGTTATTTGCTTTCTACCGTTTATTGCTATACGTGTCATATATTGTTGTTTCTTTTTCTATCAAGTCTATCTTTTATCTATCCGTGCACGTGTGAGCAATCCGATGTCTCTCATGATGTTGGCACGTCTGACCCTCTTGGAGGGTCCACACTGGCCCCAGACTGCGAATTACCCCCGTGTAATCATGTCACCGTTGTACTCCCCCAGTGTAGTTGTTGTATGCTTCGTGGTTCTGCACAGGTCGTCTACGAAACAACCTACAAAGAGCACCTATGGGTGGAGTGTGGTGTTCAGGGGAATACTGTTGGTGGAATGCACCACCTAGGACCCAAGAAACACTGGAACGATGATTCGATTCCCCCAGTAAATACCAACAAACATTCTCGATTTCATTCCAGTGGCTTCATTTCGATCTCGCAATCCGCATGTAGTCGGTGTGTGGGAGAAGAACACGTACCATTTCGGGGGTCCCAAAAAAAAAACTGTGCAAGTGGTGATGGGGGCGCTCTTGAATTTGCCTCATGCTAGCACGGCCACCTTGGCCTTGGAGCTTGGA